GAGTCCCTGGCTACAAATCCAGAGGTCCCGGGTTCGATTCCCGAAGCTACCACATTTTCTGAGAAGTAGTGGGTTTGGAACTGGATCCACTCAGCCTCGTGAGGCCAATTGAGGAGCTATTTCAAGGAAATAACGGCTCCGGTCTAGAAAACCGAAATTAACGACCGTGGAGATTCGTTGAGCTGACCACGTGACACTCTCCTTCAAAGTTGGCACTAACTTCCCTGACAAGCGGCGGTCTCTCGGTCGGTATAGTTAGCTTGCGGACTAAAACCAAGGAGGGTTTTTTTTTTTTGCTTGTGAGGTAGCAAAACTTTCTAATTTTGAATCTTGAGAAATTTTATAACAGCGGCACACGAAGTGTCAAACCACATTCGCTTTCTCCAGTTTGAAAGAAGCACTAAATTCGCTATCAGTGTGAATGGTTTATCAGTTCTGTCTACAGATATGACTTATTATTTATATCCATCTTCATAAACTAAAAATCCCTCTGCTAGCAATATAGTCCCCTCCATCTGTGGAACCCGAAGGAATGTTTCCCTGATCTCTGGGACACACATCTCCTAACTCAGATGAGTCCATTGCATGTTTTCACACCTTATTTCTTAAGCATCAACTTTGATAGTATCTTTCCATCTATATCCGAGTCTCTCAAGTTCTCTCTTCCCTTCAAATTTTCGAAGAAATTCTTAGGCGCATTTTATTTATAGCAGTTTTCTCATAATCCTCCACAGGATGGATATATTAAGTAAGCATTCGCAGACAGCCCACAAGGGATGGTACTCTGTCTTGGACGTTCGGTAGAGATTTAACGTTCCCTTACCGAAAGAAGGAAGTTTTTAATATTACACATGACCTCGAATAAGGAAAAAGGGAAATTCTGTGGAATCCTACAGTCGAGCTTCTGCATTGTAAATTCTAAAGTATGGCTGCAGACGCAATGGTTATATCGCCAGTACTTGGGAGCCATAACTTCTTCTGTAGAAACAAGATTCATCACATGAAATCGAGGTACAGGTAAGCTCAGGAAGGATTTATCCTGTGCTTTCTGTCTCATGGGCCTACACCAGGAATCCTACCTGATTAACTGCAACTCACAAGACACAGGTGCTAGATACAGGCCTATCGGTAACCTAAAAGAGAACTAATGAAGAGGCAAGACTTTTGATTCAGGATTTATTAATGAAAATTCTGGACTGGAGTAAGAAATGGATCTTCCATATCGAAAGAAAAGTCATCATATTAATTATATACAGAATAACATAAAGGTTTAATCAGATATGGATTTTGAAATATCTATCGTAATATATTGGGCGGAAAACATCAAGACGCAGCCATACCCTTTAACAATTTCATGATGATGATGATGATGATGATGATGATGATGATGGTATGATTAGAAATAGGCTGCTTTAGAGGTTAGCTTGTGTCCTTTTAAATATAAACGGCAGATTTATGCCTTTATGAACTATACATTAAACGGATTCAGTGTTACCAACATTGCTCGCCATTCTAAGAACAGTAACACTTGTGTGTATCTCTAGGGTACGGCAGTACAAATAACTTGCTTTGGTCATGCACTGCGCATATGAATATCCAACTCAAATACGAAACATGCAAGGTAGAATTTTTCCTGCGTGAATTAATGAAGCATGTCATGTTGTTAGTAATGTTGTTTGCAGATTAAGAAACAAAATCCATAATTAAAGACTACAAAGATTGTCTGTTCCTTTTAGAGTTGTTAGTCACTTATTTTTATGCTTGTTTTATATGTAATTTAATGGGTTTTTTTCTTTCCATTGGCTCTACAGCCCCCATTTGGGCCTAGGCCTACCTCCATGAAACTCTCCGTTTCATTTCGGTTTACTAGATCTTACACATATGGTAGGACTCCTTGGGTGAGTGATCAGCTCGTCGCAAGGCCTCTACTGTAGACAAACACAGAAAAACGCACACAAACCTCCATGCCCTGAGTGGGATTCGAACCCACGATCCCGGTTTCCAGGCGAGCGAAGACAGTGCATGCCTTAGACCGCTCGGCTACCGTGACCGACGTCATTCCAAATTAGTATCCCATATATCGCCAAGAGGTATAGTTTACAAGTGTAAGCAACAATTTAATTTATACGCTTTCGAAGTTTGACTGGAGTGACAATTTAGATTTGTGTCTTCTGAGATATGATACCGTGTAGCCTCGTAGATCGTTACCAACATTTCGGAACAACCTGTTGTCTGCGTCGTTATTTGAACATGTGTGGCTCGTACAGTTTTGGCTTAATTATTGCCAATAATATGGCACAGTAGGCAAAATTATTTTCCAGCCCTGATATGATAATTCTACGGCATACATTCAGAAGCAAACTGAACGTAGAAATACAGGGGGTGCACAAAACCAAAAGATCATAATCACTTAGAGCTTTAGATGTTTATATTTTATGCAGAAATCACAAAAATATTGTAAAAATACAAAATCTGAGTTAAAAGTAACACACACACACACACACACATATATATATATATATATATATANTGCAGCTGTTCCAACATTTCGGCGTGCACTTAGGTCACCGTCTTCAAGATGGATCTTATGTCGGACATATTCTAACATGTCTGCTTATAACGTAGTGGTGATATTCAACGTAAATAGCTTCAGCACATGAAGAGCTAAATTCCGAAAGCTGGCGTTACGTGCATAATTCAATCAGAGGAGAGCTTCTCTACTACAGCAGTGCACCCTTAAACATCACGAACATGTTTTCGTGGGTTGCTTGTGACGTCACGGCGGTTATGAAATTAAAATCCTTCTCTTAATAAATGGACCGAATGCTATGGGCGCTGGATTACTTGCAGACAGTCCATCAAGTGTGTTACAACCCTTGCCCCTAGTTAACGGGCCATTTGGAACTTCCCCTTCCATACTCATCACAGCCCATTCTCGCGTCGATAAACGACTCAACGCCCTCACAAATGAAATTTAACGCTAAATGCCCATCATTTTCAGCCAAGTGGTTTCGGAAGGGGGGCGTAAGGAAAGAAGAAAAACATTGAATGGATGTTGAAAGAGAAACAACAAAAACCGGCGCGATCAATTTATAGTCCAGATGATGTGTTTCCAGTGCCTGGGGGTGCATGAGCGAGCAGGGTCTGTATTTGGGGTTGNGGGGGGGGGGAACAGAGAGCAAGAGAGAAACAGCGCCCCCAAGACAGTCATAAAGCATCGGGCGTCTGCTTACGAGTTCACGGAACCACATTTTTATGCTTGATATGTGCCTCACCGTGTCCGTGCCTCACCGTGTTTCATCCCTTAAATTTCGTACTGGGAGTTTAGTCTAAAGGTTTCTGGCGGACGTAACAAGCGAGGCTTAGATGATCTTACGGCCACAAATTTTCTAGAGAAAAAAAAGTTACGTGACATAAACTGTAGTCACATTTACACTCTATTTAAAAAAAAATTCATTAAGTTCCATAGAGCCACTGAAAAGAAATATGTAATTTTAAGCTGTAATATTGTTCCTATACTTAGCGAATTTTCAGGGCTTGGTTTTATCACAGATTTATATGAATGTAAGAAGGCGATAGGAAATAAACAAAACAAACTCCGTGGCCTTTATTCCGCAAGCGAACTATACCGAACGAGCCAACGCCGCTTGTCGGCTAAGTTAATGCCAACTTTAGCAGATAGAGAGTGTCAAGTGCGAAGGATCCCCATGACCGAAAATCTCGGTTTTCTAGACCGGAGCCACTATTTCCTTGAAATAGCTCCTCAATTATCCTCACGAGACTGAGTGGACCCCGTTCCCGACCCACTACTTCTCAGAAAATCTGGTAGCTCCGGGAATCATACCTGGACCTCTGGATCTGTAGCTAGGGACTTTGACCACTAGACCACACAAGCGGTCGGTGAAAGGAAATACAAAATGTTATTATTTCTATGTCATTTCCATATTATGAGAATATTTTCGTTAAAATATATTTCTTCCCAGTGCATTTGGTATGACATTATTAATGAAATAAATCACGAGATGTTTGTAATGTATCCGTTTGTTCATGACTGAACACAATCTTGTCAATAGCACGTCTGCTGCATTGTGGGGAGATCCGAATTCGAATCTCTGATAGGAGATCGCACATCGATGCTTTACCGTTACAAGTTTCTCCTCAGTTCCTCAGAGGAGTTTCATAATTTGCACTCCTCTTCAGATACTGTTAGGATGATCAAATGAAGCAGGATGAATGATGGGGTTGGTAGTGTATGTAGCTTGGTTGGGAGAAAAGGAAAATGCATACAGAAGTTTGATAAGGACGCCTAAATGAAGGAGAAGCTTGCGAAACAGCGGAATATGAGAAGATATAACAAAAACTGCCCTTAAACAGAATGGGAGGATGTGTACTAGTTTCGTCTTCCCCAGATATGGGGAGATACTGTGACGTCACTCGCGAGACCGCAGAGTTCACGTGACCCCTACTTCCCTTTGCGCCATCCACGTCACCCTGCTCCCTTCTAAAGGTTGTTCGTCCCGAACAGCCTAACGGTACATCCCCGTTCATTTTTCTTCTGGTTGTCCGTTCTCCTCTTGCAGCGATTATTCACCGGCCGTTACATCCTCCGCTCCCTTCTTAGGATTGTTCGTCTCGAGCAATTCCATATTCTCAAGGATTCTGTTCCGTGTGGTTAGTTTATTTTGTGAAATTCCTTTTACTCGTAATGAAAGAAAATAAGCGGTGTGTGTACAGATGCAGTTTAATGATATTTAATCCGTCTTAACTAAAAATTCCAATATTATTTTAATGAAAAATGAAGGAACAGTATTCGACGTTACCATATTATGCGTTCATATTACGCACTTGATGTAAAGAATGTATGAAGTAAAACAAAATTTCTTGCATATGTCCGGGAAACGCATTGCTGTTCACTGCTACAGAAAGAAATGACAAGTTTTGTTTCGTCACGTGACCCCCTATAAAGTACATATTCAGTTCCGTTTAGGTGGGAGCTATGTTCGAGGGTTGGCTAGAGAGAGCGGCCTGGCCGGGGAGCGGTGTCTTCACCAGTTACACGAAACATGAAGAATGAATTTAGGTTAGGTTCGCTTAGGTTAGAACCACATCAACAGAACAAGACTGTTCACAGGAGATGCGAGAGACTGCATACTTCTCAGTCAATCAATTGTATAAGAAAACATGGGTCAACCCACACCAGTCGAATGAAACAAAATCGATCAGTATGTGTGGGTTCGCTTGTATTTCCTATATAATTATTTACCGGAGAAATATTTTGAGCCTCTCGGAACTGCTCCGAACATCTTGCGAAATTAGTGCGGTTCCAGAAGTACGTGTAAATAATGTGTGTGCTTAGGGATCAAATGGAATTAGTAGATCGAGACGGTTCAATGGAGTAAATCCTGGATATTCTGAAATCACACGCTTGATTACCCTTGGACAGGAGAAGAAAATGGATGTTATTCGTTTTGTGTGTGTTCTACGACGAACGTCATAAAGTGATTCTGCAGAAAGAGGTTGACGTCTAGCAGTGGGAATTTCACTTAACAGGTATGATGCAAGACACAAATTTTCATTATGATGCTTATTTATAATGTGAATTCGTTTATTTTTTGAAGTTACGAACAATAATATAACTGTCGTAACCTATATAAGCCTCTTAGGCTGTTACTACATAGCCGAAAATATTTTTCTCTCAAAACATAAAAGAACTTATGCAATGGTGGACAAACGTTTTTAAGAACAAGATGACTGTGTTGAAAAATAAACACTACACATCTGTGAGTTCTTTAGCGTTATTTTGTTAATTTTAATTATTATATATTTGGTATTTACTCGCATATTTAACTCTTTTATTTTAACAATTATTAAAGACAAGTCCGTCCAGTGTGACTATTTCAGTTTTCTCACTTTATGATTCACTAGCCTTACATGTTTCGATCCATTTGGATCATCTTCAGAGGCACCGAACACTTTTTAGAAACCACTATCACAACAGTTGTCATATCAATTACACATGTATTGCCAAGCATATTATTGACACGAACCGTAAGGTTTATGAATTTTAAGTTTGAACAAAGTTTTTAAAACTTTAAAACAACTTTAAATATTTCTACAACCAGAAAGGCTGTTATTACTGATAGATGGAACATTGTGTACTTGGACATTACATGTGTAATTGATTGACAACTGTTGTGACAGTGGTTTCAAAAAAGTGTTTGGTGCCTCTGAAGATGATCCAAATGGATCGAAACATGTAAGGCTAGTGAATCATCAAGTGAGATATAAGTAGATATTTCATATTTTGTGCCTACAATTTATTTATAAAACACGTCTGATTAATTTAAGTCTTCCAACTCTAAACAGCTGATGCAATACAAATATCCAGTTCACTGGAAGTTCGTTCTTCTCTGGCGACATGACAAGCCATGGATTAACAGGTGGGTAAGGGACGTTAATCTTCGACTTGAGCGTTCGCTTGTGGGGATCGGCAGAACTCACATTGATGGGATTGATGTCTCTTCANATGAACGCGTGGTTCTTGCCTGAATTAGTTGAAATATCCACTAAATTTGAGTCGAGAAGCAGAACAATGGCCATAAGCAGTAACCCTCTGAAGCATGATCTTCAAGTAAACATCATTTGAAAACTCAGGTTCTACCTCACAGAATGTTTACTGCTTCCATATAACAAGGATAAACTAGTTAAAGCTGTTTAGGAAAACATTCGTGATGTATTCTGAGAAATGCAAGGAAAAATATGGGAACACTATGGCAAAAATGCAGAATTATTAATGTTAAAACAAGCGGTACAAGTAGCAACTATGTCCTTTAAAGGCAAATGCAGTCTACAGCCCATTAATTTTTCCAGCAGACCTCTTTTGTGTTGAGGTATTAGAACATTTAAATATTCAGATTTTACATGCTTGGCGGCATATTTACACATTTTGTTTTGTAGCACAGGATTAAAAATGACTCCAGATTTTATAACTTAACAACTGAGAAAGTCGGCATTTGTGCCCACGCTCGAATCTCTGAAGTTTAATATTTCCTTAGAGGAGCGTCTTCCAGTTGCTGTGTTTCTTCTGCTAATGCAGTTTGTAAATCTATAGATATTTTCCAAAAATTTCTCTGTATTCAAAATCACGTTATTTGGCTATGTTGTTGAAGTTTAAATTAACCCTTTATTTTTTTTATTATTTGTTTACTAGTGCTAATTTTTTTAATTTTCCATAGGGTACTGAGTCAGCACACTAATAAAAGAATAATGTAACTGAATTATTTTCATACTCACCATCATCATTTCGGAAATACTTTTTATATAAGAAAAATATTTTTATGCTTAATTAGCCAGACGTAATTTCAAACTCTCCCGCTGTAGTCATGAATTGTAATCTTTTACTTGTAAGCAGTAGTCGTATTTCAAATGGAGTTCAGGCGTGTGTGTGTGATAAAGGTAAATTTGTCTCTATACTTAGTTAATTAAGGACTATCTATTTATGGTCCTACAGCCCTTTGTTGGGCTTTGGCTGCTTTTTCAGGTTCTTGAACCTATACACAGTCAGTAGGACTTCTTAGACGGGGGATCAGCCCGTCCCAAGGCCGCTCCTAGACACAGAACAAAATAAACANATGTTGGGCTTTGGTCGCTTTTTCAGGTTCTTGAACCTATACACAGTCGGTAGGACTCCTTGGACGGGGAATCAGCCCGTCCCAAGGCCGCTCCTAGACACAGAACAAAATAAACACAGAATAAACGCACACAAACCCTCATGCCTTGAGTGGGATTCGAACCCATGATCTCAACGTTGGAGCAAGCGAAGATATTTCATGCCTTAGTCCACGCGGTCATTGTGATCAGCCAAAAGGAAATACCAACAGCTCTTGGCGTTCCTGAGCGGTCACCCATCTGAGTACTAATCAAGCCCAATGTTGCTTACCTTGGATTATCGGAACAGAAACAAAGGAGTGATTATGATCAGTCTCCGGCAGCTTCAGCTGAATTAAAGAGCCCACCTTTCCTCGAATTTTAGTTCACAACAGCAAGTTCCCATGAAAGAAGAATTGCAGTTGATGTAGTTTCATTACTAAATTATGGTCCATACATTTTAAAGAATAACTTGTAAATGTCTGCTTTTGCTAATTACTAGGAAAATATATTTAGGTATACAAGGAAAGGCAGAAAAATAATATATGGGCTAACGACCCAGATACAGACATGAAAACATGGCGTCATAGAGCCTACTCCGGTTTTACAAATTTCTGCAGTGGTTGCGTGCGTTTCAGAATTGCTGGAGTGACACTGTTACCTTTATAATATATTATGTGAGTTTTGAAACATGAAGGATGAACAACTATATTCTCATATATCTCAGGTTAGTATGTTACTTTATCTGGCCGAGGGAAACCTTCATCAGGTAAGGTTCGTGCAGCTAGCCACGTTATTAAACGGGATCGCAGTAAGAAGCAGCAGCGGGAAGGAAGACCGACCGCAATATAACTGTGGGAACCCCAGCAGGCGTCCAGGGCAACCAAACGGAAAATTTCCCCCGCCGTACTGAACCGAGACAAATGTTGCTGCTATCCGTGACAGCTCCAACTAATGGTATCTAATGGTGGAAAACAGCCCAGGTTTAAGGCTCGTAATAACCTGCTCTTCTCCTCGTCATGTGATAGCTATAAAGGAATGATGATGACGGCGAGGGATTTCCCCTTTTCCAAACAATAAACTTTATTCTCACTTCGTTTACACGAGACGTATTCCCTTATTTTTATCTCAGTTCCAGAAACGAAGACGAGGCGGAACGTTTTATCATTTTCACATTGCCGTGATGAATTTCGATTAGAACGTAATGTGCCTCGCAGATTGGACAACCAATTCCATCCGTGCATATCAGCTTATCAGCTCTCTCGAAAGGAGGGCGTAGCGTTGTTTAGGTTCTCGTTCTTATTTCGCAAAGAATCGAGAATGAAAACGCGTAAATTCAGATACCTTTAATGGAAGTAGTATTAATACCGTATTTACGCATGTATAGGCAACACATTTTTTGCCAAAAATTCAAGAGGAAAACTGGGGTGCGGTTTATATTCGAAATATTCGAAATCACACTTCATTTAAAAAAATTATATTCATAATTAGTAATACAGGGTGTTCTACTCCTGAAATAATATGTCAAGAAAATGATTTTTTCTATAATTTCTGTCTGAAAATTGTGCTGCTTCCTATACACGCAAGCGGCCTATACATGCGTAAATACGGTAAATAAGTTTTGCTGAGTTGTTGGTCTATTTCTGCGATAATAGTGAAATGGGTGCCATTCTTCTAGGTAATTTTGATGTAATATAATTACGAAGAGACCCAGAATATTATTTTTATAAGTTGCAGAAATACAATTTTTATATTTCTTTCATGTTTGTACATATTTCACACAATTGTTATTACGAGATACACGACTGAATATTACAGCCATAGACCTTCAAATACTAACAGAAATTGGTTCACGTATTGCTTATGGTTGGAGTAGAGGAAGGGACAGGGGGGTTTGAGATGGAAGAATAGCTCAATATATTTGCTCCTGGACCTAAATTTATTTCTCCTCTCAGTGCTAATTATTATTCACATATTGTTCAGAAGACTCTGATAGTATCTGTAATGCAGGTGCTCAAGTAGTACCAAATTAGACATGTTGATCAGTCGGAGCCTATTTGCAATGTCAGTTGTCACGGTTAGCCTACGACCGCTGCAGGGGACTTAATTGTGTTGCTCACTACAAAGGCCGACGTATTTACTTAAGCAATTGGTTTCATCACATGATTTGCGCACTCTATTGTTGTTAAACTGCACAGGGATTAATAATATTGTGTCTCAGTTATGTTCAGTAAATCCTATAACATTTAACTGATTCCATGCTGTTTATGTAGCAACAAATAACTTCCAATTTTCGTAAATTTTCGTAATAATGTAGATATTATTGTAATTAAAAAAACGGAATTTTCAAAGAAATTTCACGAAAAGGAAGAGGGTATTTCGTTCAACGTTGGTTATTTAATTCAGACATGGCACATGCTGTTCATAGCATGAAAAAAGTTATCTAAGCCTATCAGAATCATTTTAGAAATCATTACTTTTAATAGTTGTTTTGGAATTAAAATTGCGAAAGCACCATAGCCCTTTTCTGTTAGAAAATTTAATTTTCTCTTAATAGAAAAAGGAACCCAGAAAATATTTACCTCATCCATTAATGTGTTTCAGGTTTCTTATAAGTTATTACGAACTTTATCAAAGAAAGTCGAAGGAAAAGTGGAAGAACATCTTCATATGCTCGTGAAAAGGAATTAGTGAAATAGACAAGACTGCTATAACGAGTAGCATCGACAAACTGTCAATGAGTAAAGTAGTTTATTGAGTACTTCTGCCCTCTGTTAAAGATTCTGTATTTAGTTACCCAGGGCAATTGTCTGCCATTAGTTTCCTACCAATATTAGTCTGTCCTTTGTAACCTACCAATAATAATCTGTTCTCTGTTACGTACAGACAATTGTCTGCTCTAT